AGAGGGCCCAAGAGCTAGTGGTTTTGCCTTGATTAAGGGAAGGAGAAGTCTGGGAAGCAGTGGGCTAGCCAGGTGCGATGCATGGCCTGGCCCAAGCAAACGTGCAATAGGAAGTCAGCAGTGACCTCCTTGGGCATGCTGTGCTGTGACTCATGTCTGATCTGCACACGTGTGGATTGTACATCTTACCTCTTGTCCGGTTGGGAGTGACTTCAAGACCTGACTCCATCTCTGTGGAAGGGGTCATCAAAGGCTCCCCACAACAGTCATGGATGCAAAAGTGTTCTTGTGATGGGACCAAGCCCAGAGTCTTCATCAAATAGAACACAGGTGAGAAGAGGCTGATGCCCAGTTGTATATGTTAACAACTCTTGGGTTTCTAGCTTCAGCCCAATACAGAATTTCCAAAGGGAAGATATGAATATGTAATAGATGGGAAAGCAGCACCTTCCCTCTGTTACCCATTCCTACATCAACACTGTCTGTGTGGCTCAAAGCCAAGACACCACATTGCCTCAGCCTCGAGATCCTATTAGTCCTGAGCCTCATCAATTCTCTCTGTGTTGGTCCTTTACTTTTCAACCTGATTGAAACAGCTTTGAGCTAGGATGGGCCTGTTAGTTTATCCATCTCCACTGTACCCCAGGGTTAATATAGCATCCTCCTAAAATGTTTTTTAATTGAATTTTTTAGCTGAAATATAATTTATTTCCAGTGTTGTATTAATTTCTGGTGTACAGAAAAATTATTTGGTGTTATATATATATATATATTCTTTTTCATATTCTTGTCTATTATGGTTTATCTCAGGATGTTGAATATAGTTCCCTGTGCTAAACAGTAGAGCCTTGTTTATCCATTCTATATGTAATAGTTTGCATCTGCTAATCCCAAACTCCCCTACCCTGGCAATCCATCCCTTCCCCTCCCCAGGCCCCCTAGGCAACCACAAGCCTGTTGTCTATGTCTGGACTCGATTTTGTGAATAAATTCATTTGTCATATTTAACATCTCACATATAAGTGATATCATATGGTATTTTTCTTTCTCGTTCTGACTTATTTCACTTAGTATGATCTCTAGGCTCACCCAGGTTTTATTCCTTTTCATGGCTGAGTAGTATTCCATTGTGGGGCTTCCCAAGTGGCTCAGTGGTAAAGAATCCGCCTGCCAGCAGAAGATGCAGGTTCAGACCTTGGGTTGGGAAGATTCCCTGGAGAAGGGAAATCCCATGGACAGAGGAGCCTGGTGGGCTACAGTCCATGGGTTGCAAAGAGTTGGACACAACTTAGCAACTAAACAAGTATTCCATTGTGTGTATGTGTATATATATAATGTATATATATATATATATATGCTGCTGCTAAGTCACATCAGTCGTATACACACACACACACACACACACACACACCCATATCTTCTTTATCCATTCATCTGTCAATAGACATTTAGATTGTTTCCATGCCTTAACTATTGTAAACAGTGCTGCTATGAACACTGGGGTGGCATGTATCTTTTTAACTTATAGTTTTGTCTGGATATATGCCCAGGAGCGGGATTACTGGATCATAAGGTAACTCTATTTTTAGTTTTTTGAGGAACTTCCAGACTATTTTCCATAGTGGCTGCACCAGTGTACATTCCCACTTACAATGTAAGACATCTTCCTAAGACATTTAATGATCTTCTCATCCAGAGGTCAGGAAACTGTGACCATGGGCTAAGTCTGGTCCACCACCTGTGTTTGTCAATGAAGGCTCATTAGAACAGACACGTGCATTTATTTACAGATTGTCTACAGCTATTTTTGACTGCAATGGCTGCATTGAGTAGCTACAACAGGGACTGTTTGTAGCTAAAATGTTTGCTATGTGGCCATTTACAGGAAATGCGTTCTAACCCCTATTAATCCATCCTTTACACTAGTGCAAGATGGTGTTCCTAAAATGTCATTTCACCATATTACTCTCTGGATTAGAACCCACAATGATGTTACATTGTTCATATAATAAAATCCAAACTTCTTGGCCTGGCATCCAAGGTCCCAGAGGTCTCTACTAAAGGCAAGCCCTGCACCTCAGTTTTATTTCCTTTCTATTTCCATATCCCTGGAATATGCAATGTGTTTCACCCCTGCTCACACATTCCCTGGAATGTACTGCTGATTCACTGTACCTACCTAATTCCTACCTTGGTTTATTCATTAAAGAACTAACTTAAAGTCATGCATCTTTCACGATCATATCTGTTCACAGTGACCACTAGTGAGTCTACCTATATTAAGGTTCACTGCCTGTACCATCTGGTGATATTTCTTCTGTTCAAACATAGTTCATCAATATGATGGATGGCAACTTGCAGTGAGAAATTTACATGAACAAAGACTCAGAGGTGGGAAAGCCTAGGGAAGATTTGCAAATGACCAGATCTGTAATTAGAGCACCACCAGGCTCCTCTGTCCATGGAATTCTCCAGGCAAGAATACTGGAGTGGGTAGCCATTCCTCTCTCCAGGGGATCTTTCCAACCCAGGGATTGGGTCTCCTGCATTGCAGGCAGATTCTTTACCATCTAAGCCACCAGGGAAGCCCATTGTCCATTCAGTTTCCTCTAATGAAATGCCATAGAATGGGTGGCTTATAAACAACAGAATTTTTTTACTCACAGCCCTAAGAAATCTTAGAAGTCTAAGATCAAGGCACCCATTGATTTGGTCTCTAGTGGGGGTCTGCTCCCTGATTCACAGGAAGCCCTCATCCCGACGTGTTTTTGCATAGAGGAAGGAATGAAAGAGCTCTCTGGGTTCTCTTTGTAAGAGCACTGACCCCATTCACAAGCCCCACCTTTATGACCTAATCACCTACTAAAGGTCCCACCTCCTAATACCATCATCACCTTGGGGGTTAAGTTTCAATATAGGAATTTGGGGGGAGAATGCAAACATTCAGTCTGTAGCATACACAGCACTCAGTTAACATGCGTTTATTATTATTATTTTATTTTTGGATGCGCTGGGTCTTCGTTGCCGTGCAGGCTTTTCTCTAGTTGCAGGAGTGGGGGCTCCTCTCTAGCTGTGGTGTGTGGGCTTCTCATTGCAGTGGCTTCTCTTGTTATGGAACATGGGCTCTAGGACTCATGGGCTTCAGTAGTTTTGGCACATGGGCTTATTAATGGCAACTTCTGATGGCAGCCCACTTCAGGATTCTTGCCCTGATAATCCCATGGACAGAGGAGCCTGGCGGGCTACAGTCCATGGGGTTGCCAAGCATTGGCCACAACTGAGTGACTGAGCGTGGATGTATGCAAATATACCTTGATAGCCCATGGGAATGAAAGATAAAGTCCAGTAAACTTACTCTTGAGAAATCCTGGAATATAGAGCTACTGGTTCTAGACGTCTTTGCTTGATCATGTAGTACCTTTGAGATGCTGGACAGGTGGGTTCTTATCATTGGTCTTTTCTCATCTACCTCCACATATTGTGTATTCTTGGATGTCCTCTGGGATTAAGCAGCATCGATGATGCACCATGGATTGGAGTTCTTTGGTAAATAATAAGTTCCTAGAATGTTCTCAGGTCTCACAGGAGATTATGTCCCTGACTTGGATATTATGTCCCAGTGGCTTGAAATTATAAACTACTATTTCTTCAAAGTCTGTGCATTACACAGAAGAACTTGGTTATAACAAATTATTGCTGTGTTGATTTGAACAGCAGTGGTACAAGCACATCCACAGAAACAGAGCAAGTGCATGAAATTAAAGGCTCCCTTCACACAGAGCAGGACAACCAGGCTTTTACATTTTTGTCTTCTTCAGGATGTGGCTGTTGTGTAAAACGCAATTATATCTTGTCTAACAAGTTTCCCCCTGCTGATGTGAATAAAAGGAAATAGTCTAGTGCAGTAAATGTGTCAGTAAACCACACCCTTATGCACTTTGGAGACAAAATATTAACCATGTAAGCTATCATAAGGGCAGGCCTTTCTATAAGAATAGAAACTAATCACCTTTATGTGATATTTAGTGTTTCTATTTGATATGTATAGAAAAGAAAAATACAAAGTGTACACTCCAGTGAAACAGTTATGCTCTGAATACAAGGGAAATACATTCTTTTAAAAAGCCATCTCTAGGCATTGTCTAGAAGTAAATATGTGACAGTAAGTATAATGGCAAATAATATTTATTGAGCATTTACTATGTGCCCAGTCACTGTTCTATGTCCTGTACATGTATCATTATCAGTGCTCCAGCTATATGGTTTAGGTACAGTTCTTATCTTCTCTTTATTCCAGAAAAGACTTAGACCTAGGGAGGTAAAAGAACTTGTCTGAGGTCACACAGGTAACAAATAGAAAAGCTGGGAATTGGACCCAGGCAGCCCAAGTCCAGACTTCACATTGACCATAACCTGAATGAGCCTTTGCCCACATGAAATGCTCCCTCCAAGAGAAGCTTAAACAAAGACCACCCATCTAATTTGCATTGTTTGGTCGGTCCAGCTGGATGATTTGTCCTACAAAATTTGAAATTGCATGGCATTATTTATATGTAGGGTTTCGATAACAGGAATCTAAGCCCAGAATTTCCCACGGTTTTATTCTCTCATCTTTGCAGTTGAGAACAACCTCTAATCTTCACAGTTGAGACATTTTTATTCTTTGTCTCTAAATTAACACCGCACAGAACATGACTCTGTGTGTGTGTGTGTGTGTGTGTGTGTGTGTGTGTGTAAGCTGCTTTCTTCTGGATTAAATTGTTGCAGCTTGGCTGAGTGAGGAGAATTCTCCCACTCACTGAGCCCACAGCAGACATGTTAGGAGAAGGCTGCTGCTTGCAACACACCCAGACCCGGAGGGGCAGGTGACAAGGGTGTGCGCCCAGCATCTCTGGAAGGGTCTCTGCAGATGTGCACAGCCGCTGCTGCTTCCTGCCGTCAGATTCCCGGAGCCAACACCCACCCACTCTTACAGCCTCTCTCTCTCTTTTATTTTCAAGGAAAAAAGAAAGAGGCAGACGGAGATAGAAGGCAAGCGCCAAGAGCTGGACGAGCAGATACTTCTGCTGCAGCATTCCAAGGTAAGCAGCTGATCCCTCGAACCTGTCTGTTATTAGACATGCAGATCACACGCCAGAGAGCCGGGCAGAGCCTGCCCTGGGTGAAGGCGCTGCCGAGGGCTGCCCCAGCCCTTTTTCATTCAGTCAGGAAACCATCCCTGGGCTGTTCTTGTGAATTTCTCAAATTCAGGGCATTGTTACACAGCGTTCCAATTTCTGCAAGCCTGATGAGATGATAGGGTGCCTGTGGATGGGTTTAGGGGGGTGGGGTGTGCCTCTGAACTGTGGTGGTTATATATAGAAATTGGAGGAGAATTTCCACATGGTGGGTGAGGCAGAGTTCCGGGGCTATATCTCTAATCCATAGGTGCTGTATGTGTGTGTGCATGCGTGCAGAGGTTCTCAAAGATACATTTAACATAGTGCTCTTTATTAAATTCAAAATATCAATCTTTTCTTTCTTGATATGGAGGAGAGGGAGATCAGAGCAGTGTGGTCTGGTAAAAGAGCAATGCTGTGCATGCCGGATTATGTATGTGTTTTATTTCTACTTTAATAGTTTTCAAAGTGTCCTGTTAGAGCACTGTCAAAAGATAGTATTGAAATGATTTGACTTGGTTGGTTTTCATTGCACCACGGGGAAAAGAGAGATGCTTATTTATTTATTTTTCTTTAAAACATAATGCACTTAAGCATTATAATTGATGGCAGCCCAGGAGAAAGCTCTATCACCATCACAGGGACTCCACCGGCTGCAGAATGTTGCTTTCTGCAGGCTCAGAGAATAGTGTGACCAGTGGCCAGTGGGGTGGTGCTACTGGCTTTTCACTGCCCCTGGCTTTTTGAGAAAAGGCTTCTCCTGCTCACCCCAAGTTGCCGTGACATTGCACGTAGAGAAATTGGATCGCTCAGAGGGCTAGTTGGGAAGGTGGGGCTGACTCTCTGGGTGATGCTAGATGTGGATTATTTGGATTTCTTTTTTTTTTTTTTAGCAAGAGGAACCTTTACAGTTGCATTTCCCATTCTTTTCTAGAAGACAAGGTTGTGCTAAATGAATCCTCAGAATGAAATCATCAGCAACATGATTTTAAATAGCAACATGACCTAAATCTGCTTCCCATATTTATCAGTTCACCGTTAACTTGAACTAGAGAAAAGTGTTTAAAAGGAAAAAAAGCACGATAGTGAAAATTGCCTTTTTCTCTCTTACTGCTTATCATGTGAATCCATTTATGGACCTTTCCTTGTAGGAAGCTTTGCATCTATGCTGTATGCCACTTTTTTTTCCTTACCATGTTCCTCAGGGAGGGCTGGGGGCCAAAGTTAGCATCTTCTTTTTACAGAGAGGTGTGGCTTAAGCTTACTTCATAGAACCAAGTGAATTGTTCAAGGTCAATCTGGACAGAGCTGGGTCTCTGGCTCAGAGTACAGTCAACTCACTCCTGATAAGAGACCAAAATTTACTAAACCTCAGTGAATTCTTGCTTCAGAGGTGAACTTTTGAATAAGAATACTGAAAGAATGAGAGGATGTTTTTGACTAGACAGATTCTCTCCTCTTTCAGCTCAGTGAAGTTCTTTGCATCTGCATTCCTTGAATCAAAAGTCAGGAAATAAACATATGTCAGAAGATCAAGTTTCTTTTGTCTCACTTCCCATCTTTCTGGGTGTCAAATAAGATACCAAGGATTCATTCATTGCTGATCCAGTCCAATGTTGCAGTGTTTATTTCATATTTCATCTGTCTGTTATCCATCCACCCATTCATCCAATCAATAAAAATAACAGTACAAATGATTTAGTATTGCATAGGAAAGCAGTGAGATTCCTGCAAAGACTTGGAGACAAGGGAATAAGATAGTTCTCTGTGGTTATCCTGGTAAAATTCTCACACAGTTGATGAGATTGACTGTTTGAGGAAATACATGGCACTTTAACCAAGGTTACCTTGCCCATATCTGGGGAGAAAGGATTGGAAATGATAGAAATTTAATGATGGAGAGACCAATGCACTATAATTTTCTCTTACTGGGGAAAACCTCTATAGACAGAGTGGGAGTGGACCACTAGCCTTGAACAACAAAAAGAGAAAGCTCAGAGATCTCCGGTGTGGTTCATCAGGTGTTACACTCGAGGGAGATGCCAGCTCTGGGAGGTCTCGAGTTTCTATGCCCTGGTGAGATTGGGTGAGGACAGTCACTAGCCTCACTGCAACACAGGTGGAACCTGCTTCATGACTGCCTTTCTTTGTTCCTGGTCCACCCTCCCCAAAATAATGGAGTCATTTTACTATGAGGAAGGTGGTGCCTGACTGAGAGAGATGATCACTGCAGGCACCAGAAAGGAATAGCTTCTACTTTAAATCAGTTAACTGTGGGCTGACCTTACATAGCATGAGTCACCTTCCCTGTGATGGCTCATTTTGGAGCTTGGCAGCCTCACCCTTGGATGGTAGTACATTCATTGAGGTTATAGTTCCCCCTGGGCTCTTGGTGGAGATCCAGCCAGCATCCTGCAGGCAACGCAGCAGCCACATCATCCCTTTGTCTATCATCAATAGTGACTACTCAAGAATAGTCATCACTGGGACTTCCCTGGTAGTCCAGTCTTTAAGACTTTACCTTCTCATGGAAGCAACCTAGATGCCCATCAGCAGACGAATGGATGAGGAAGCTGTGGTACATATACACCATGGAATATTACTCAGCCATCAAAAAGAAACGTTAACTTGAACTAGAGAAAAGTGTTTAAAAGGAAAAAAAGCACGATAGTGAAAATTGCCTTTTTCTCTCTTACTGCTTATCATGTGAATCCATTTATGGACCTTTCCTTGTAGGAAGCTTTGCATCTATGCTGTATGCCACTTTTTTTTCCTTACCATGTTCCTCAGGGAGGGCTGGGGGCCAAAGTTAGCATCTTCTTTTTACAGAGAGGTGTGGCTTAAGCTTACTTCATAGAACCAAGTGAATTGTTCAAGGTCAATCTGGACAGAGCTGGGTCTCTGGCTCAGAGTACAGTCAACTCACTCCTGATAAGAGACCAAAATTTACTAAACCTCAGTGAATTCTTGCTTCAGAGGTGAACTTTTGAATAAGAATACTGAAAGAATGAGAGGATGTTTTTGACTAGACAGATTCTCTCCTCTTTCAGCTCAGTGAAGTTCTTTGCATCTGCATTCCTTGAATCAAAAGTCAGGCAATAAACATATGTCAGAAGATCAAGTTTCTTTTGTCTCACTTCCCATCTTTCTGGGTGTCAAATAAGATACCAAGGATTCATTCATTGCTGATCCAGTCCAATGTTGCAGTGTTTATTTCATATTTCATCTGTCTGTTATCCATCCACCCATTCATCCAATCAATAAAAATAACAGTACAAATGATTTAGTATTGCATAGGAAAGCAGTGAGATTCCTGCAAAGACTTGGAGACAAGGGAATAAGATAGTTCTCTGTGGTTATCCTGGTAAAATTCTCACACAGTTGATGAGATTGACTATTTGAGGAAATACATGGCACTTTCACCAAGGTTACCTTGCCCATATCTGGGGAGAAAGGATTGGAAATGATAGAAATTTAATGATGGAGAGACCAATGCACTATAATTTTCTCTTACTGGGGAAAACCTCTATAGACAGAGTGGGAGTGGACCACTAGCCTTGAACAACAAAAAGAGAAAGCTCAGAGATCTCCGGTGTGGTTCATCAGGTGTTACACTCGAGGGAGATGCCAGCTCTGGGAGGTCTCGAGTTTCTATGCCCTGGTGAGATTGGGTGAGGACAGTCACTAGCCTCACTGCAACACAGGTGGAACCTGCTTCATGACTGCCTTTCTTTGTTCCTGGTCCACCCTCCCCAAAATAATGGAGTCATTTTACTATGAGGAAGGTGGTGCCTGACTGAGAGAGATGATCACTGCAGGCACCAGAAAGGAATAGCTTCTACTTTAAATCAGTTAACTGTGGGCTGACCTTACATAGCATGAGTCACCTTCCCTGTGATGGCTCATTTTGGAGCTTGGCAGCCTCACCCTTGGATGGTAGTACATTCATTGAGGTTATAGTTCCCCCTGGGCTCTTGGTGGAGATCCAGCCAGCATCCTGCAGGCAACGCAGCAGCCGCATCATCCCTTTGTCCATCATCAATGGTGACTACTCAAGAATAGTCATCACTGGGACTTCCCTGGTAGTCCAGTCTTTAAGACTTTACCTTCTAAGGCAGGGGTGCAGGTTTGATTCCTGGGATCCCACATGACTCGAGGCCAAAAAAAAAAAAATCCCAGCATAAAACAGAAGCAATATTGTAACAAATTCAATAAAGATTTTTTTTTAAACAATAGTCATCATTTTTTTCAATGCCTAATGTGTGTGTGATACTTTAAATACATCCCCTCAATAATGACACCAAAGTAGATACTACTCCCCCTGGGTTACATGAGAAAACAAACTAGTGAGATCAAGTAGCTTGCCCAAGAGCATAGAAACTCTAAGTGGGGGAGCACAGTTGAACCCCAGGACTGGCTCCATAATCATGCTTTCCCCAGGAGACTGTTTTCTTCAAATGAAATGATTTGTCTAGAGAGACGTCATTTGTGCTCCTCAGTGTCTGTTTTACTCTAAATATATTTTCATGGGCTCCGGAAAGTTTGGACCATGTGGAGATATGCTGCAGTGATGATTGGTAGTTTCTTGAAGTAGAAAATAGGTCAGTAATTACTATTTATTTTACCATTTTTCAAAATCCCAGATATGCTCTTAGGAAAAAAAATAATCTCAGTGCAAATTTAAATGGAAAAACATTAGAATTTGATTTCATTTTTATTAATATATAATTCTCATTATCAAAGTCTTTGGATGCTTATTCTTATGCCATGAAATAGAATTATTTAGACATTCACTGGTCTCTTGTCAAAGCAAATAAATAGAATGCAAGGCAATCATGTTGATACATGTATATTTGATTAATATACTTGTTAATTGCAATAGTTAGGGCTATATAGTAACTCCACAATATGAAATATCATTACTTTCTATATGAGTGACAAGCAAATTCTATAAGGCAATGAAGGAGGTGTTGAAATATTAGCTGCTGCAACCCACTGATTAGGAAACCTCCAGGTACCTTGAGGTCCTGGCCAAATTAAACTCAGATTTCTTTTTATAAGATCCTTAGATTTATTGAGTATCTAATATTTGTGGTTAAGAATTTCTAAAAAATGCTCATGTATGGAACCAGCAAGCAATTTTAATAGATGTATTCTTTTTCCTAATTATAAAAGAAGAAGTGTGTAATCATTTCAAGAGTGAAATTTAAAAGTACAGGAAAATATAAAGCAAAAACTTATCAATTATCTGCTTACCATCCAGATATGACCCAGTATATTTTTATAGAATAAGATATGGAACCCTTACTATAGGCCTCATCAGCCTGAGAGTAAAATGAAATTACATTAACATTAGTATCCAAAATACATTAGCTTTGATCTTTGTTTTGATTTTTGTATATGAGTTCTTTGAAGTTCTCCTACAAAAGTTTATAATTTGCATGAACTCACATCTAACATTCACTTTACAATTTCTCACCTTGATGTTGACCTTGGAAAGAACATTTCCATCTTGAACACTTAATCTATGATGATTCTTCTGCTTCAGTAGTTTGTCGATTAAAATCTAGAATATATTTTCCTATAAGGAACAAGATAGGAATAACTTTACTTTTCAGTGATGGTGAGGCGGTGGCCTCAACATGATTTATCGATTAATTTTTTCCCCACAGATTTAAATGTCTTCTTTGTCATATACATATTTCTCACTTATACTCAAGTCTGCCATTTTTGAATTCTTTTTATTCCATTAATCTGCCATTCCTGTGTTAATTTCATTCTCTTTAATCCCTCTAGCCATTTAATATATGATAATATTTCATGCAGCAAGAGCCATCACTATTCTTCTTTTGAAAAATTGTCTTGGCTTTTAACTCCATGGACACAATTACTTATTTTTATTGTTTTTATTATGTAACTCGTGATCATGTGAGTTTAAAACAGTAAATCAAGTATTGGATTGTACCAGACAGACTGAATTTAATATTCCCTTTGCCCCTTGGTTGAATTGCCTGAGATTTGTCTATTTCATTGGTCATGTCGAGGTCCCAGCAACAGCAAGCCCTCAGTACAGATTGCCACGTGAATCCTTTTGGGACTGTCCCATTTATAAAGGTTTGTATGGCACATCAGCAGGGTCAGCATCCAGTTGCTCATAACCACATCTTCAGCACGTAAGCTGCCTTTGAATTATTTATTCATGAGCAGGAACACTGACTAGAGTTTTCTTCTAAATCCAAGCTATGAAAAACCATATTTTTTATGTTTAAAAAGCCACAGCCTTTTCTCTCCAGAAGACTGAATGAAAAAACAAAGACGGACTTGAGACCCTGTGAGATGTTTATTATCAACACTCCAAGGTCATTTGCTGAGAAGCCTGAAGGTATCAGGAGCCTTGCTTGCAAAGACATTACGATTGTGTCTCTCACAATTGTGAACCATTCAAACTAATTTTAGACTTTTCTTGGTTTTTAGTCTGTGTGAAAAGCCAAGTTCAAATTTGAAAATATTGACCAGGCAGGCAGGGTACATGGTATAAAGGAACTTGTAATGTCAGAACACCTCTGGAAAACCGAGTTCCCTGAACAGGCCCACGGTCTTGTTCTGTTAGATCCCCTCTTCCTGTCCCCTAGGGGGATACAACTCAGCCGGCAAGACAGCCACCAGCATATACAAATTGCACCACAAGCTTTCACACCTGATTTTATATTATTAAACAATGCCCCATAAATTTTAAGTACTTTTTTACGGAGTATTTTTTAATCTTTTAAAATGAACACATTAAGATGGACTGGATATTAAGTGTTCTTGGGAGATTTTATAATCAATCTGTAGTTGCATAGGAAATATCCTTATGTTTTAGAGACTCATACTGAAATATTTATGGGTGAAATGTCCTGATGCTGGTTATTTAAGAGGCTTCAGTGGGAAGGGCTTCCCTGCTGGCTCAGATGGTGAAGAATCCACCTGCAATGCAGGAGACCCGGGCTCAATCCCGGAGTTGGGAAGATACCCTGGAGGAGGAAATGGTAACCTACTCCAGTATTCTTGCCTGGAGAATTTCCTGGACAGAGGAGTAATGGAATCCCATGCCCTGATATTGGTTATTTACTTTAAAATGCTTCTGTGGGAAGAATATACGGGGAAATATGACAAAATGTTTATAATTGTGAAATGCACATGAAATTACACAGGAATGCATCGTCTAGTTTCTTCTGTATGTTTTCAAACTTGTTAATCATAGAAAATGCGGGAATCGATCCTTCTGGTGGCTCTCTGGACATAGGGCAGGAGCAAGTGGGGGCCCACTGCTGAGGGGTGAAGCTGAGACAGAAGGACCTTGGAGGGAGAGGACGGTGTGAACTGAAAGTATCGTCAGTCCGTTCTCTTTCTCATTCCCACAGTCTAAAGTACTTCGAGAAAAATGGCTGCTGCAGGGTATACCTGCTGGAACCGCGGAAGAAGAGGAAGCCAGGAGGCGGCAGTCTGAGGAGGATGAGTTCAGAGTCAAACAGCTTGAAGATAACATTCAGAGGTAGGTGGTTTCCGGTCCAGGGCCGCACGCTGTGGCTTTACGGTGCAGTAACTGCCCTTCTCCCCTAGGAGGCGTTGCTGAACGCCATCGCCGTTTCCCAGCGCTTTAAAATTATCTTCCTAAACAGAGTATGTGCACTGTTGCTGCTGAAACTTTCCCAGAGGATCCAGAATTTTTACTCTGACGACCAAGTATCCTATTGCGCTGTCACGTAGTTTAGTGATGTCTTCATGGACCAACTAGGTGTGATGAGCAGCTTGCCCCTTCACTAAATGTCCCCCTTTTGAGTTCTTGTGTCAGCTCTTGCCTTTTTCCTTCTTGAGCTCAGGCTGTTAGCTGTTAGTCTGTCGCCAGATTTACTACATTTGATCAACTTGAAGTGGGACATCTATAGCCAAGGGTCTTGGAATGGACACTGAGGGTCCCTCTGAAGGCTGTGTGCCTGTGCTCTAAAAGATTCACTAAGTATTCTGTGGCTTCAGTGCTGCGGAGGGTGCTCTTGTGGTCCTCAAGCAGGTTCTGAACATTTCAGTCTAGGAGATGAGTGACCTTCCTATATGTCCGGTGTCTAGCCAGAATCATACAGAAGCAAGACAAATAGAGGTTTCCGTTTGGGAATTTTAGCCACAGCAGGTCCCAGGGCATCCAGCCAGAGATGTGAGATGGTGCGGAAGATGGTGAGTGGAGGTGCCTTGGAACAAAATCTGCATCTCCAACTCATCCCCCCAATTCTGCCGGAAATCTCATCCTGGAGAGTGTCATCTCTTTCTCCTGGGGTTTTTGAACTCTTTTAAAATACAAAGAGTAATAGCTAATTTGCTTCCAGTCATTTGTACTCAAGAGTGCATGAAGCTGCTGAGAATACGCTGGGGACCCCAACAGCATCACCAAAGGGAGAAGCAGACTGACTGTAAGGCCTCTAGGCCATCTCCCTGCTTTCCTGGAGCCCCAGTGCCCCTTGAAGAGTTCTTGGAGCAGCTTGGCCAAGCTTTGCTTGTGAGGGAAACCTGCTAAGAAAAAGTTCATATGAGATGTGTGTGTGTGTGTGTGTGTGTGTGTACATACATATACATACACAAGCACATATTTCTTAAAATATAAAGGATAAAAGCTAAGTATTATATGTACATATATATGTAATATTGGAAAGGCTAAATTATGTATTAACATATATATGTCTCTGTGTGTATGTGTAGGATTGGCTGAAAAATTCATTTGGGTTTTGCCATAAGATGTTACAGAAAAATCCAAATGAACTTTCTGACCAACCTAATTATTTAAATATATATATGTGTGTGTGTGTGTGTGTATAAAAGAAGAAGAAGAAATTTTAATTATGTGAATGCTGACCTCAAGCTTGTGAGGACAAGTACCTCCAGGATCCCAGGGGGAAAAAAAGGACTTCTTCATGTGAGAAGCCCAGCAGATAGGAAGGGGAAGGGGCAGAATGAGTGGCCCAGAGTCCTGAGCTTTGGGGATTGCCTCACCTCAAAAGTGGCTCAGCTTGCTGCATCTTAGACAAGATGAGGGAGCCATGAATAATGGGAAACAGTGACAGTAAGTTGGAGAGGAAAAGACAGCTCTGAGAAATTTTTTTTTCTTTCTTTTGAGAAATGGTTTTATAGGAGGTTTGTTTTTAAGTCTCAAAGTGGCAAGTCCATGGTGCTTTCAGCTGCAATGACAGTTGAGACCATAGAGCATCTCTTGGTCTTTACTCTTGTTAAAAGCTCTAGTCCATTTCCTGTCTCTTTCTTGCTGGTTTCACGCAATCAGAACAGATGGGTCTGGCACCAAGTAGATGCCCCATAGTTTGCTGAATGAAAGGATTGGGGCTGGGTGAACCACATCAGGGGACCTGCCTGGCAGAGGGAGCCTGGGAGGTTACTCTTCAGTCCAAGCTGGCAAAACCCTAGGAACCAGTGACTTAGGTACAGTCTAGTCACAGCAAGAACTGTGGTTCAGGGTCACATGGGACAGCATTATACTCCTGAGGAGTTCCAGGCAGGATGAAGAAACAAAGATGAAAATTGAAGGCCCCCTCTGAAGTGGAGGGAGACATGGTACACACAGATGGGCAAAAAATCTGATTTAAAAATCATTTTTTAAAACCCGGATGTCTTTTCTCACTGAGCCTGTCATGTACATTCATTTCATGTAGTAGGTGTTATTACAGATGGAAGGCAGACAGGATTTGGAAAGTAGGGTAAAACTAGTTCTATGACCTTTTCTACTTTTCTTAATTGGCATCAGAAAACGTGGTCTTCAGCCACACTGGCAGTTTCGCTTTGACTTGAATACAAATATATTATGGTTCTGGCCCAGTAGGTAGTAACTCTCACCTGTCAGATGAGCCATTACATGTGGAAGTAGAGTCTTAAATCAAGGCTCAGTTTAGGCTAAATTAATCATTGGAGTGAGATATAAGAGTGAAGTGCTGGTTTGTTCAGGTGAGCATGACCATACTCCAAAAAAAAAAAAAGAAAAGAAAATCTCTTTTCATCTTTTGAGTAAGGAAAGAACTCATTCAATGCATGCAATCTCCTGGAAGGCCATTTGAGAGAGATTCCCAAGCCAGAAGGAGAGAAATCCTAACAGACTAAGGGGCTAGGAGTGGGGTGCTTAGGCCTGGATCCAGGGGCTCTTTCTTTCTGCCATAATCATGGCTTTGCTGGTCATCGGCAGACGGACATTGGCCGTTCGCTGGGGGATGAGCTGTGGTCCCTGGAGCTGCTTTTCTGTAGGAACAGTGCTGCCAATGGCATCATTTCCTCCTTAAGGCCTCTTGTGGAAGGAGCTTCCCCCTACCCTAGATGTCAGTTTCTGCTTCCCTTCATCTTCCTTACATCTTCTGTCTTCTATGGGGTTTAGCATTGCTAAGCTCCAGTCCCAAGAGAAGAAAGAAAAGCGCTTTCCCCCTGCTCCTCCCTTAAAGGATATTCAGTCACCTGAAAAAAAAAAAAAGAAAAGAAAATCTCTTTTCATCTTTTGCGTAAGGAAAGAACTCATTCAATGCATGCAATCTCCTGGAAGGCCATTTGAGAGAGATTCCCAAGCCAGAAGGAAAGAAATCCTAACAGACTAAGGGGCTAGGAGTGGGGTGCTTAGGCCTGGATCCAGGGGCTCTTTCTTTCTGCCATAATCATGGCTTTGCTGGACATCGGCAGACGGACATTGGCCGTTCGCTGGGGGATGAGCTGTGGTCCCTGGAGCTGGTTTTCTGTAGGAACAGTGCTGCCAATGGCATCATTTCCTCCTTAGGGCCTCTTGTGGAAGGAGCTTCCCCCTACCCTAGATGTCAGTTTCTGCTTCCCTTCATCTTCCTTACATCTTCTGTCTTCTATGCGGTTTAGCATCGCTAAGCTCCAGTCCCAAGAGAAGAAAGAAAAGCGCTTTCCCCCTGCTCCTCCCTTAAAGGATATTCAGTCACCTGACACTTCCCTGAAGTCAAACACTGGTTCTCTCTCACATTCTTAATCCCTTGAACTGCTTTAAAGGCTCACTGTAAACAGAAGCATCCTCCAGTTTAAGAGTCTGTGTGGATTGGTTAGCCTGGCTTTGCTCATTTTAGCTGACCTTGGCTAAGTGACTCTAAGCTGTAGGTTGGAGGAGTCTGCTCATACTTTCCCTGCACGAATGAACTAATCATGACAATTTCCTTTTATGGTGATGGCAGAGGTGCAGAGGGGCTGAACAGGCAACAATGCATAGGCTCAGAACTGCCCATGAGCCATTAGCCAAGGTGGGTGGATGGTTCATCCCCAAACCCAGGGGAGGAGATGGACAGTCAGCCCTTAGTAGAAGGAACTCAGAATAATGGGGCAAAGAGTACAGATACAGGAAGGGGTGAAAATGGGGACTCATCCTTCAATCTTCCAGAGGCATGATTATTTCATTGAAAACTGCAAACATGAGGGAAAACTGGTCAGCAAGAGAAAAAGTACAGAAAAGCAAATGAATGTGAAAGGGGATGAACTAAAATAACTCAGGAATTCAGAGGAAAGGGAAGAGAATAAAGGAAAATATGAGTGGCTTTGAAGTCAGATCTGATCTTTACATAATAGGAATCCTGGAAACTCTCTGCAGAACCACCAAATAAGAGAATCTAAAGGAAGGTTTCTTTGTTTGAAACAGAACATTAATTTGTAGATCTTAACATTTGGGTCCACTCGTCTAAGTTCACCCCTAGCAAAAAATTAGATTTTCCTAAAGAGATATATGAATTCTTTTCAAACTGTATTAATATATAATGTGAATATAATAAAGTATATTAGCACATTTGTACTCTGAAGGTATGTTAGTTCCTCTTGGTGAATTCAGAGTAGCTTGAAGAAACTGATGGTGCCTACAAGAAAAGATGAAGGGAAATAGGCTCAGTTAGTTTAGAACAAGAGAAGATAATGGTCACAACCTAACTCAGAACTTGATGTGTATGTAGAATTTAGGTCACATCTGAATTCTTATGTCTGGGCTGTTCTGAATATGATGAAGACTTAAAATAAAGCATGAGAATTTGCACTTAGACATATGTCTGTTTCACTGGATATATCTTCAAGAAGAGAGAACATAACCACCTTTCTAATTCTGATTTGAAAACCCTTTACAGCGCCAGTAACTATACAGGCAGTTCCAGATTAACAGACATGTTTTCTTCCAAAATGCTATTTGTAAATTGGTGGTGGCTTGGAACTGAGATGTCTGTATTTTAAAACTATAATATGTGGTGCTTGGGTCTTGAGGGCAGCCCACAAAGAGGACAGGAAAAACAGAGGGAAGGAGAGAGGGAGGGAGGGGAAAATGTAACTAAATTATTAAATCTAGGCATTAGGATCACCTGGGAAGCTTTTGAAAAATATAAATGCCCAGGTCTCATTCCAGGAAATTTGGATTCAGTGACCAAGGTGAAAGTGAAAGTTGCTCAGTCGTGTCCGACTCTTTGTGACCCCATGGATCATACAGTCCATGGAATTCTCTTGGCCAGAATACTGGAGTGGGTACCTTTC